TTAAGAGCTAAATGTAATTTAATGTTTGCTCTGCAGCAGCAGAAATTGTGTATTTATGCTGATATTATTTTCTGAATACTGTCTTTGACTGCTGGTTTAGTAAATCCACTGTTTTGTTGCTCATATTTAAGAAATGAGGAAGAAACCACCACAGACCATCAGTATGATCTGAGCCACTTCGTCTGGGCATCTAATGAGCGCTACATGGGCTTTAATTATGTCAGTGTAACAGCCATACAGGGAGGCCACCGGTCTGATCCAGCACCGTCTAAAACATTCAGCTTCTCAGCGCACAAGACAGCTGATATAATATGTAAGTAATATATAGATTTTAAAATGTGTTTATTTCCCTGTAAATAAGTAAATGTTACCAACTAGAGTGTGGGTCAGATTTACATTGCTAAGTTTCTTTTACCGAGCTAAAATTTGAATTTCTCTCCACAGGCAAATTAAATTTCCCTCCTGTGGATCTGAAAGTGGAGGATTCGGGGGCCAAAGTGACGTTCAGAAATCCCCTGCACTACTACAGTGAACTGAAGCAGGCTGACAATTCTGCCTCCTTTAAATTCACAGTCTCTCCAGGTGGTGTAAGTACAAATAAAGCTTAAAGACATTTGAAATAGTATGAAAAAGGCGTTTACAACTCTGGAACATCAGTCAAAAGTTGAGCCAAATTCAGAAGAAGTAGCCCCTTTCTTTTGACTTTCAGTGAGTCAGCTTGAGGTGAACGTTATTATATTATTAATAATAAAATTAATAATGATGATGCAAGCAGAACAGCTGGTCTACCCATGCAGGCTATATAAAGTTCATAAGCTATTTTGATGATCGATTTAATCGTTTCAGTCATTTCCTAAACAGTTTGTCAAAAATCTGTAGATTCCAGATTCTTAAATGTATTCTCTTAATTCTTAAATGCTCCTTTTCTTTGTTGTTCATGATAATTAATGAAGAGTCTTTGGCTTTTGAACTGTTAATTAACTTTAGGCTCTGGGGAATTTTTTTTTTTTACTTTTTAAAGACTAAACGATAATAAATTGTGAAAATGAGCGGCAGATTAATCAGTAATGAAAATAATTGTTAATATATGTCTCTTAACCTGCAGACATTTCAAATCTCATTACGTTCAAGAAACGTCAGGAAATGAGATGAATTACAGAGCTTGAATTCATATCCGTGGAATCGACTGAGGTCTTAGTTCCCATCTTGTAGCGCAGTTTATCTCCTCGGGGTCCGGCACCCTGTTAGTCTGTGAGAACTTGTTCTGCAGGTCCGGACGTTGGAAATTTCAATATATCTCCAAGAAACAAAAATGTTTGTTGCTTTGTTTATTATGGCTCCGCTTTGGTTGGATATCGAGAACCAGTTCTGAAATGGAACCAGTTTTAGTTTAATAAGAACTAGGGAGTTGTTAAAAGGTCAGTGATTTCTGCCCCCACCCCAAAACAAAGGGCAGTCAAATGCTTTGTTTGTTATGGTAATAATATGCTAATAAGATAAAAAGCAGTGTTGATCGTAATTACCGGTGTTCTGTGACTTTCAGGAAGGTGAATGCCTACGGAGCCAAGAGATCTGCGAACGCGAGATTGAATTTCCTGAGGGTGCAGAGCAGTGCGTCAATCTGACAGGATCGTTGATTGTCGACAATCAATTGGTATCGTTTAGTGAGACACACAACATCTGTCCCAGTATCCCACCTTGTAAGTCTGAAGTGGTGAAGGTTTCTTCAAAGACTTTCAGTATACGGCATCAGAAATGTGTCTTTCATGTTTCTGGTTTACACGGGTTAAACAGAAGGTTTGGTGACATAAAACAAAGAAGAAACAAGCATGTTTTCTCAACATACAAATAATCTGGACACAGTAAAAAAAAAAAAATTCTGATCCTGTACTTAAGTAAAATACTAATACCACACTGGGATAGTACATGCAAGTAAAAGTCCTGCATTTAAAAGTAAAGTTAACATATGTAAGAATTATCAGAAGAATGTACTTAAAGTGTCAAAGCAGAAGTACTCACTGTGCAGTAAAATTTTCCTGTCAGTGTTTCACTAGTTGATGTTTCTGGGTTAATATTACTACTACAATAATGTGCATCAATTTATTTTACCTCTATAGATGTTGAGGTCCAAGCTGACAGACTGATGCATGTAAATTTGTCATAGCTAACATAACTGTCTGCCTGTTTGCTGCTGTCGTGCACGGTGACGTTTTCAGAGCGTTTGTTGAAAACAACTGGCTGCTGCTGAAAACACTGACCGAGCCAGACCGTCAATGTGCTGTAAAACCCAAACTATGAGCTGAAAGAAGCCATTTTCATCAAGCTGCTTAAACTTTCTGCTCAGCACCAAACAGCAGTCAGACATAGTTAGCGGCTAGCTGGTGAAGAAAATTGAGTATTTAGCGCCAGAGATTTTTCTCAAGAGTTGGTGGAGACCATACCAGAGCTAAAAGGGGAGTGAATAGTGGATGTACATTTACCAGTGTGGCAAAAATCTGACTGCAGGGTGTGTAAGAGATTTGCCAAATCAGCTTTATAAGGTTATAAGTCTGTTTTGTTATAACAGCGTGTTGTGCGGCCCCCAAATGACCTAAAATATAAATTGATGCAGGTTTAATTAATGTTTATTGAAACAGATTTTGCTTGCTGTAACAAAAACCACTATTTGTTCAGCAACACACTTGGTGGCCTCTATATTAGGTACACCTGTACAATCTAATACAACTTTTTGTTGACATTGTCTGAAATGTAAATTGTAAATCTGAGTAAAATACAAGTGCTCTTTGCTTTAGCACATTTGCAAACTGTGAAACTAAAATATTTTTTTATTGCAGGGGTCTATGTGACAGTGGGAATTATACTGCTGTTCGTGTTAGTTGTCGTACTGACTGTGGTATCAATCATGATCTATAAGACAAGGCCCCGGAAGAGGAAAACTCCCATTCAACTTGAGAATCTGGTAAGGTGTCAAATTGGAAAACACAAACCAGTTATTGGTGGTTGTGTTGCTCTAATTGTTTCTAAACCCTTTGTCTATCCTTGTCTTCTGCAGCCAAACCGGGGGAAACAGTATTATACTGTGACCCCCCCACACATCAGTACTGTTCTGATCAGACTGACTGTCAACGAGCCCGGCACAGAGGAGGAAGCTGAGCGTTTGACATCGGAGGGACAGAAGACAAATGAGGACTACTCTTCAGATGGCTCTGTGAAAACAGAGTGCACTTCGGTTGATGAGGAGGAGGAGAAGGGGGAAGAGTCAATGTCATCATATGACCGCCCACAGAATCTGCAGGTGGACATGGGTGATGCAGAGATGGTCACAGGTTACACCGGGTGTTAATGCAACAGCTGATTGGGGATTCGTTAAATGTTTTTAATTCAGTACCACTATAGCTCGGGGCAAACTACACACTATAAAGCTTAAAGCGGCGCACTAAGAGGAGTCAGCGCCTTGCTCAAGTGACCCCTGAGAGAAGTTTGGAGTGATGCTGTCCCCCCATCACCCTCAAACCGTCTTTTTGACTGCAGATCGAATGAAAGATTTTACTCTCTGAAGTGACCCCGTCCTCTCTCCATCTAAACTGATTGTTCAGTATTGCCTGTAGGGTGCTCCAGGAGGGAACAACCACTAACCTATAAGTACCTTTTTAAACGTGTTTAAGGATATTGTTGCCTTTTGAGCTGTTTTTACGCATTTAATACAAATCTGAGGGAGAATCAAGGAAAAAGACTGATCCTTTGCTACAACATCAAAGAACTGCAACACAAAGAAGTTTTAAAAAGACTGTTACATGCACATGACCACTGGAGCCACATTTTGGAATATGACTTTCCACAACATGAAGTATCTGCCTCATTCTTACCCACTTTAAAACATTTTATCAGACGTAGCAGTGCAGAGTTTTTAAGAACGGCTACATTAAAGCACACAATAGGAAGATTTTTTTTTTTTAAATCAAGTTTTTTTAATATCAGCTGAAACTGCTGGTTTAGAGTAGCTGTTATTCATGAAGGAAGGTGTATTCATTTTGAAGGGACACACAAAAGCATGTTTCCACTTGTGTTAAGTGGTATCTAACCATGTAGACAGTTTAGGTTTTATTTGCCCAGGTTTGGACATGAGATTTCTGTTGCCTCTTTTTACAAATATTCTAAGAAATAATCCACTTTCACCAGTTTTCACAAAGAATATTTCTGTGGTAGAAAGTAGTTCCAATGAAATGTATTTATGACAAGGTCTGGATTGTCCAGAGCAAACACGGAAACTTGTTTATGCAAAAAGATGTGCAAGTTGAATCTTTTGGCAGCAAAACTTGGGACTCATATTTCAAATCCTGGACAAATAAAACCAAATTACCTACATGACTTAGTAGCCCACCACTAGAAGCAAAAAAAGTGTACTAAAATAATAAAAGTAAACGGAGCGCACCTCACACAATCTGGACTTTCCCAGAAACTGGTTTTAAAAATCCATTTGAACCTTGCTTGCAGTGCCACACCTACAATTATCACACAAGTGTTTCCATCTGTTGTTTTACCTGCGGCATGCAAAACTGGCTCTGTTGGCAATGTGGGGGTGTTGTTCATTTGCATCAAGAGGATTAGGGTTTTTTTGCATTACCCCAAGGTGGCTCATCTTTTTAAAGTTGTAAGTTTGTGTAACCTTTTGTTGTATAAGACTCGCTTTTATATAGTTTTTAATTTGATTACAATTAATACTAATTTTACAGTATTTGTTTTTTTTGGGGGGGGGGGGGGTAAACACCCAAGCCAATTTTTTTAATAATACACCGACCACTATTTCTAATGAGATGTGAATTTTATCAAAATGCTTCTGCTGAACGCTTGTTTGCATGTGGAATGAATGCCAACATGTTGCCATGCCAAAGACTTTGTGGTGTCAGTTGATGCTCATACCTGTCTGATGATTATCAGCTCAACTGTGGGGAAAGCACATCCTGACACGAGTTCAACAAGAAATCTCACAAGTGTTTTTAATAAAGAGACGTGAACGATATTTATTTGCTTTTGTAAACAAGAGACGTTTGCAGGTGTGGGTGAAGACATCCTGATGATAGCTGAGATGGCACAGAGAGCTTTATGGGCAAAATAAACACTTTGCTCAAATCTTTTTTTCTCCCCCATTTAACAAAAGCAGTCAAACTCCTCAAATGTTACAGGAATAATGTGTGTGCTTGACAGTTTCATGTTTCTTTTATAGCAAGGAAATAGTCCAGCACATAACCCCTGTAACAAGGCGGTTTGTCTTTCCTTAATGTTTTCGTACTGGTTAAACATAATAATTAGTGAGATTTAGAGGAGCTGGTAGGTGGATTATTTTTCTTTTACCTTTGGACAGAGCCACACTACCTCGTTTCCAGTCTTTATGCTCTGCTAAGTTAGTGGGCTGTTAGCGTGCAAATATGAGGATGGGATCTATCTTTTCTCTGCCAAGTCAATAAGCATATTTCCCTAAAGTTAGAGCATTTCCTTTAGCATAAGAAGAAGAAAATAATAGAAAAAGTAAATTCAGAAATTCAAAGCCAACTTTTGATACAAAACATTCTGGTGCGATACTCAGCCTTTACTTTTCCCGGATTTCAAACTGTTACAACATCAAGATTTTTGCTCCTTATATTTAAAGTGGAGTTAAATTAACTTTATGATTTGAAGAAATTCTGGTCTTAAAAAACCCAGAGCCTGTCAGTCCTCTTGTTTTCCATCCTGTCAGCTCCACTGAAGTGAGGAGCAGCGTGTCCGTGGTGAAAAGTCTGTGCGGGCAGAACGCCGGCGTTGGGGAGCTAAAGTTTCATGCCTTGAATGTTTGTTCTCAGATTCAACATCTGCTTCTCCTGTCTGACTTTTTCCTCCTTGAACGCCATCTTGTTGGCTTTCTTCTCGACTCTCCTTTCCTATTCAAAACACACAAGCAGAATTTAACATTGTACTGTGCAAATATTTTTATATCTTAATCATTTGTTGGCATCGTTTTTCATGTCACTGCAATACTGATGAAGCCCTTCATTGTGTAAATATTTGAATCCAGTGTTGGCAGGGTAAACACAGAATGGCCGGGCTTTGTAACTCACACTTTGATAAGAGCAAAATAAAGCAGGTCAGTCGTCCTACTGATCTGATTGTTTTGTTACAGGATAAGACTAGGGCTGTCGCGATAACCGCAGTGTTCATACTGTAGGGCGTGTTCAATTAATAAATGAGTGCTTCAAAAGTTCCACAACCGTAACGAGCTCTGTAACGGCTCAAGGATGGATCGCCTGTACGTGACCTGACTTCCAACTCTGAAGCTGTAAGTGTTGCTGTGTTTTTGTTGTTTTACGGTTTATTTTAAACTTTAGCTAACTTGGTGTTAGCACATTGCGCGGCTAATGTGGCTAGCAGGCTCGGCGATGTTGGACTAACGTTGTGATCCTGAGGGACAGTAAGCCTCATTTGAATCTCACTAACTAAGGAGCGTAGTGTGTCGGAAGCCTGCAGCTATTTTTCTTGTTGCTTTCTGTGGAAATTTAGTTATTACGTTACTACAGCGCAGCGGTTTGTTGTGGACAGCCATTCTGCTCCACAAGCGCGTGCGTTGTCGCGGTATGTAAATTGACTTGATAGACGTGCCCTGAAGGTAACGATATAACGTTAGCTATGTCTTAAAAAGACACGTCAAACTACAAAAAGGAGTTTTCTTGGCAATGTTGTTGACTAGCACCCAGCAGCTAGCTTGCTCCGACCATAAAGCTGCTGTTAGCGGCTCGCTGTGCAGTGAGGTGACACTCTTACTCTGCTATATGGCGCCAAATTACTTCATTGATGAAAAATGCGATAATAACGCATAAACACTGCTGAGCCCCAACATACTGCCGCGGTGGAAACTCTAAACTCCCGGCCTGTTTCTACTGAACATGTGATTCTTTAAAAACAGCTCACAAATATATAGGCATTTGTTTGGGACTGTTTAACAGTGGATTAAGCATGATGGTTTTGGTGTTTTCAGGAAATTTTTTATAAGAATAAAGTATTTTCAGAATCAGAAGGAGCTTTATTGCCAAGTAGTGTTTTACATATGTATCACTCAGTATGACTGGGTAATTGCGGCCGAAGTTACAACAGATTATTTGACAGAGACATTTCTGTACATGTTTTTGTCAGGTCTGAAGTGGGCGAGGCTCAGTTAATAAATCAGGGTTTTGTATGATTGTGTGCTTCTGTTACAAACACACTGTCAATCAAATTTGTTAAAACCACACCTACAGATTACAGAGTTTTAATCTCACAATTCTACTGAGGATGTATTTTATTTTATTTACTTTGCTTAGTCATGAATATTTAATTGTATATATTATAAAGTCAGAGCCTGTGGGCTTCCACTCAGGGAAAGCTGGGAAAAAGTCACCCCTACTTAGTTTGCTTTTTTCCACTCACTTCCTGGGTGCCTATGGGATAATGATTGTTATTTCATCCCGTAGACATTTACCAACTGAGCCAAGACAGCCTAATATTGCTTAATATAACTTCAGACTACACCAAAAACATAAAAAAGGTCTGTTCTGAGGGATTTATAGTTTCTGACTTTGGGACGGGTTATTCTATATGATAATATTTTTTCACTTCCATTCACTGGAACTGTTTGGAGCCCCCATGGGGAGGGCCACGTCTCACAAGCAAGATTTGAAGGGCCTTAAGCCAAAGACACAAAACATCAATGTTTTTCCCCTCTTTCTTCCTCACCTTGCGTTCGTCCTTGATGGCCTGTTTCCTTGTCTCCTCTCCTCTTTGCTCTCCTCCCTGTGGCGAGGCTGGGTGGAGACCCGAGGCAGGTCCGAGTCGTTGATCCTCGTCATGCGCTCGGCCTGCTTGGCGGTCAGGCCTCTGGCAGGAAGGACGTCCAGAGGGATACCCGTTTTACTGGACACACGGATCGGCTTTATCTGCCGATAGAAGAAAACAAAGAAAAGGTCTGCTTCAAGTCTAAATTTTAGACAATGTGCTGAAGAGGCTGGATCATAAAGTGCCTGGACAAGAGTATTACGTAAAATCCAATATATTCAGACTCTGCTTTGATTTTGTGTTTCACATCTTGACTTTCCAGAACAAAGTCTGAGCTCATCTGCAACCTTTAAAAGTTCACAGTGGAAGTTTAAGTGGCCGTCTTAAATAACACTATCGTTAAGCTATCAAGCAGGTTCCTGTAGTGTCATGTATGAGAGTTTGTTTTTCAGTTTACAGAACATGTCCGTACTCTGCAGACTAGTGTTTGTTGCCTTCACAGTTTCAGCTGCAGCTTTGTCTCAGTCACAAGTGTAGGTGTGACGTGCACGACCAGTTGGTCACATACCGGTCTCACACGAAGTCGCAAGACCGGAACTTCAGGAAAGCATTCAGGTGTGGGATTGTTTGTACAGAGTATCTGTTTCTACACGGGTATCATATCAAACAGCAGTTAGAAGTAATACAAAAGAAGGACTTTTCATACCTTTGGTGGGTCTTTAATGACTTTGGGTCTGTTATATATGTTGGAATATGTGCCTGGACAAGACAAGAAACATTATACAGATACATTAATACTGGCAGTGTCTCACTATAAAACATTAAACTACTGTAATCAAGACGTCTCAACACCTGAAAGAGCACGAACATCACGTCTATCAAACCTACTGTCAGAAAAAAATACACAGACTCTTTAATGCCAATTATTATGCCAAAAGGAATTACAAATCAAAGTTAAAAAAAGCAGTTGTTGAACTATCAAGAGGTGTCAGACGGCCCAGTATAAAATGTATAAAACACAATAGGATTTTATTATTATTAATTATCACTTCTGGCATTTAAAGATTTGTAATTTCATTACTGCAGAGTTTCTTATGTGGAGTGAAAATAACACCTATGGGTCCAACTGGTTGTGGTGATACTTCCTATCTAACATTGACCAAATAAGCTTTACTGCACCGATGTGGAACAGATAAAGATGATAAGATTTTAACCTTTGGCTCCAAATGAAACGCTAAATAAAAGCTCTCAGCTGTAAATGCCCTGTAGTCCAATTCTGGTTGCCAATCACAGCTCTCAGCCGATACAGAGACCTGATTAAATAAAAAAATCAGTTTGAAAGATAAAAGTCTATTTAAGAATCTTGATTAATTTCATTACAGAAGACGTTCACAGTTGAGCGAGACTCACACAGTTCAATAAACACAACAGTCCTCTTGTTACAGTTGATAAACTTTATATTAACCCATTAAGTGGCGTAATCTCTGACATAAACTCCACTGGGGTGCTGACAATACTGATTTTCGGAGGCTGTAGCCGCCTCAGCTATAAAACAACAGTGATGATGGATATCATGAAACTAGATGACCTAATCCACACACACACACACACACACACACACACACACACACACACACACACACTCTTACTGTTTTATTATTGATTTATTTTTAATATATTTTTATTTTTTAACACACACACACACACACACACACAC